CCACAATGAGATACCATCTCACGCCAGTTAGAATGGCGATCATTAAAAAGTCCTGGAGAGAATGTGGAGAAATAGGAACACTTTTACACTGTTGGTGGGACTGTAAACTAGTTCAACCATTGTGGAAGACGGTGTGGCGATTCCTCAAGGATCTAGAACTAGAAATACCATTTGACCCAGCCATATAATTATTGGGTATATGCCCAAAGAATTATAAATCATGCTGCTATAAAGACACATGCACACGTATGTTTATTGCGGCACTACTCACAATAGCAAAGACTTCGAACCAACCCAAATGTCCATCAGTGACAGACTGGATTAAGAAAATGTGGCACATATACACCATGGAATACTATGCAGCCATAAAAAAGAATGAGTTCATGTCCTTTGTAGGGACATGGATGCAGCTGGAAACCATCATTCTCAGCAAACTATCACAAGAACAGAAAACCAAACACTGCATGTTCTCATTCATAGGGTGGAACTGAACAATGAGAACACTTGGACACAGGAAGGGGAACATCACACACCGAGGCCTGTTGTGGGGTCAGGAGAGGGGGGAGGGATAGCATTAGGAGATATACCTAATGTAAATGACGAGTTGATGGGTGCAGCACACCAACATGGCACATGTATACATATGTAACAAACCTGCACATTGTGCACATGTACCCTAAAACATAAAGTATAATAAAAAAAATTAATACCAGGCTTCACCAATAACCTGATAAGTCCACAGAAATGCTCAGGGCTTTTGTGATGAACTGTCAACCTTTAGGCAAAATCTCTGTTCTTTCCAGAAGTTTTCTGCCAACCACAGGGTGTATAAGGCTGCTCTTTCTTTTGAGCTATTTTGTGGCACTTTTCCCTGCACAAGAAGAAAGTTGTGAAAGCTTCACAGTTATATAAATCTCTTAGTCAATTCCCTTTTCTCTTTCTTCAATTACTACTGATATCGCTTGACTGAAGATCTCAGGAATCATATTTCCATATGTATTTAAATTATTGGAACACAGTAAAGCCATTGATATGAAAGGAGCCACCTTCTTCATTTCATTTCATAGGGAAATGAAAAATGTGTAACAATAATTACATTTAGTTTTATAAAATACCTGGCTATTTAGGAATGTGCTTCCAACACCTACTCTAAAGTACTCTTTTAACTATGTCACAATCCCACATTAAGAATTTCGGTCAAACAACTCTAATTAAATGTAACATTAAAAAAAATAAATTTTGTTGTCATTGCTGTTGTTGCCAGATGAATCTCTCTGTTGCTCTATTATATTCTTTGACCTAAGTTTTTCATTGAATTATTGAATTTTATTGTAATGACTCTGCAGTTTGGATTTCCTCCTTTTTTTCATTTTTACTCTCCTCTTTCACCCTTTTCTAATCTCTTTGGCTCCCTTATGATTACTTACACTTTTTAAAATTTACATTGTGTTCAAAGGTTTTTAAACATTGTTTATGAGTACAATGCAAAAGAAATACTGCATTAATTCAAAATGCATGCTTCTATTTCTCCAGTAGATTTGATCTTTGGTATAGGCAAATATCTTTTAAGGTGTTATAATATTTTTTAGGGGGAAGCATGGGCAGGAATGATAGCAAAAAAAGAAAAAAAAAAAGGTTTTTATTTCTTGTTACATGTCTCACTTCAAAAAGTTTAAAGTTTAAAGCAGCAACATTGAAACATATTTGCAAAAGCTATAAAAATACATACCAGAACTATAACTCACATCTTTTAAAAATAAGTAACTTTTATTCTAACAAGCAGATCTGAAACCTGCAATTCAAAAGTAGTGTGGGTATGTTTTATTCATTTTCCAAATGGCTGTTTTGATGAATTATAGATGTCAGTTTCCTCAAATGCACTAAAGAAACTTCTCACAGGAGTCTTTCAACTGAGACATACACACACACTCTCTCAATAGTTGCCAGTGGACTTGCACACAAATCTAATGGAATGGTGCTTTTGCCCTACGCCTTTGCAGTCAACTCCACCTGGCCAGAATAAAGTGTCAGTGTTACAGCCTTGAGTCTCAAAGGCACGGAAAATCACAAATTGGATCATTTGCAAGTTTGATCTCTCAATAAAATGTGTTTTGATGCAACCATACTGTAAAGGGCTCAAATTATATTTCTCCCCATTTTCTAATTAAGTAATTCCTGAATAAGCGAAACTCCTAGACCACAGACATATACAAGAGTTCACCCTATTTTTAGGACCCCTATCCAATGAAACAGAAAAATGCTCCTTCTTGAATTTTTCAGCACTCCTTGTTTTCATAAACTATTAGTGCAATGTTGTAAAAACAGGTTTAATGACCAGGCAAGAACAGCAACAACTATTAGTTCTGTTACTTGCTTATGATGACTAAAAATGTTTCATAGCAATCAAATTTCTTGCCTGAGTCTGAGAAATGCTCATGAATGCAGAGTCAACACCTTTAGGGTAACTACTCACAAGAACTTGAACTAAACTACAATATTGATGGGTGTAGGCTGGAATAAACGGAGTAGTTACCACTGGCAGCCAAACTGCTATAGGCTCAGGGAGAATTTCATTATGATTGAAGTAGAAAGGGAAAAGTCTAAGTTACAGATGGAGAGCTGAGTATCAAATATAAATTATGAATACAACAATAAATGGCAAGAATAGCCAAGAAGGTCACAAGCCAATAAGTTAAAGAACTGGTTAGGGACTGAATAAAAGTTGGATGTGGCACAAACCTGTAGGCCACATATATGTAATTTTGTGGTATAAGAATGAGTCTGCATGCCTAAAGAGTTCAGTACCAAGGCAGATGGTCCCTCACAATCATTAAAATAGCCCAAGGATTCTTCCCATTGACAAGCATACGGGACCCTGGCACAGCTTTTCTTAGTGTCTTCTCTCCTTGTTGCCACCAAATGTTTAGTCATTGTATATGCAACTAATGATGCTAGAAATGTTCTACAAAAAATAAAGAGAAAAGAACAATATCCCATTTGTAGAATGTTCCACTATTTCTATTACGCATTCTATTTCTATCTCTCATTATTTTTCAGAACTAGTGAGTTCTGGAAACCCGTTTATCCAGCTGAAACTTCTACAACATTATCTAGCTGCTTCATAACCCCCCTTCAGTCGTGCTCTATAATCTCACTGAGTCTCCTCATTTGAAAAATAGGAATTATACCATCTTCTACAAAGAAAAGAGCTCATTTGAGCGGCTGGTGTGTGACAAAATCTCAAAAACATGAATTATTTTGTCCTCTTTTTATGTGGTAATTAATAGGAAACATAAAATTAGACAGAGAGTTAAAAAATTGATAGGGAGAATACAGAAAATGTCAAGGATATTGAAAATGCCAGATAATAAGAATGTACGTGTTAAAAGAAATAGAATTAAAGAGAAAAGGAATATAAAATTATTACAAAGAAAATACAGAAACTGAAGAGAAATATACAGGAAAACAGATTGGTAAAGAAATCAGTAAATGGGAAAAGGAGAGGCAAAGAAAAGCAAAGTAAGAGAAATGCAAAACAAAATGCTCTGTTTTATATAAGGGAGCCTTTGCAGAACAGATTTGATCTACTGTATAATCTCTACTAGTTAGATCAAATCCACCTACAAATACATTCTTTTACACTGCAGAAATAAGGTATCTGACAAATCTGTGGAATTAGAAGGGATAAAGGAAAAGAAAACAGAACAAAAATGGGGGGAAGGCGTATTTAGAAATGAACTTTATGATGAAAGTAAATTCTGAAGTTCATGAGCATCACAGCTTCCGGGAAGTTCAAGGAGATGCTTTTGTAGATTTGTTTAAGTTCTAAAATCTTTGCAACAATTCTCAAATGGTTGTAAGTATCCAGAAGGAAGTTTTAACAGAGTTTTCAGATATTCGGTTCTACGGTCTAGTCTCAAAAGTATGTGCTCCATTCTGTTCCATCCTTAATGAAAAATAAACAACCCAACACTGTGTCAACATATCTCTGGCACTGACTGCTTCCGTTTTCTTTTAGCAGTGCATGAATAATGAACTTCAAATACGTATTGCTTTCCATATCACAGCTCAGCAACATGCAAACTTCTGGAGCATTTAAAAAGGATTAAATAGTTTTCCCAAGCCCCGAGAAGCAAAACTAATAGGTATTAGTTTAATACTTTTTGATTTTAAATAAATATGATAACAAAGAGATGGTGAATATAAAGGAAAAAGGATTTGTTCAGGACACTTAATAATAGTTGTCATTAACTAAGCTCTTATGTGCCATGCATCTCCAAAAGTGCTTTACATTCATCACTTAATTTAATACAATAAACCCACAAGAAAGTACTGCTAATCTGCTAATATTTCCTTTTTTTTTTTTTGAGACGGAGTTTTGTTCTTGTTGCCCAGGCTGGAGTGCAATGGCGCAATTTGGGCTCACCGTGACATCCGCCTCCCAGGTTCAAGTGATTCTTCTGCCTCAGCCTCCCGAGTAGCTGGGATTACAGGCACGCACCACCACCCCTGGCTAATTTTGTATTTTCAGTAGGGACAGGGTTTCACCACGTTGGTCAGGCTGGTCTCGAACTCCCGACCTCAGGTGATCCGCCCGCCTCGACCTCCCAAAGTGCTGAGATTACAGGCATGAGCCACCGCCCCCAGTTAATATTTCCATTTGATAGTGATAACTTGCTCAGTGACTTGGTTTGTCTGTGATTGAGTTGAGGTTTTGACCAAGGTTTGTCCAACTCTGTCAGACTATAATTGGAACCACTATTCTTACAGAAAGAGATGAACTCCTCTAAAAAAATTCACCTCAGAGTCCTAGAAAAGTGGAGCTGTAACAGTTTTCCAGGAAATTGGATTCTCTGGTTTAAATTTTTGCTCTGATTAGTACAAATCTCCAATCTAAACTGAGGACTGATATTCAGCTACTTTGACCAAAATACTGTCATTTTTTTTTTTCGTATTTATTGGTCAAGGGAAATTTTGTACAAATGGAAACTGCAAGTTACCTGCATAATGACTTTGAATGGCAGGAGCCATATAGGCAGATAGTGAAGATGAAGGCTGAAAAAGTGATCATATGGAGTGGACTCTGCCTGTAGTTGCTGAGCACAATGAGGCAGCCATGATGACCCTGGGGTGAGAAGAAGAAATACGTAGTAAAATAATTTGCCTTTTGGTTCTCATATTTTCAAGATTAACAAGCAAACCTCATAATTACAATATGCATGCTCTAAAAATTGTGTCTTCCATGGGTGCCACATAAATTTTAGCTATTTCAAATGTTGGTTATAACAGCTCAAACTGACTAAAATAATTTCCCAGGCCTAGGGTGGTGGTGGGGGTGGGGGCAAGCAAGAGAGAAAGAGAGAGAGAAACTCCAATCATTCTTTACGTAGATAGAGAATTACAAATAGCTCTCTAATTTCAAATGGTGCCTTGTCAACAGATGCTTCTTCATTTCTTGTTCTGAGTTTGGTCTCAACCTTAAATCTTTTTTGTTTTGTTTTAACTTTAAGTTCAGGGGTACATGTACATGTTTGCTACAAAGGTTACATGTGTCACAGGGGCTTGTTGTACAGATTATTTGATCACCCAGGGGTTAAACCTAGTAGCCATTAGTTATTTTTCCTGATCCTCTCCCTCCTCCCACCCTCCACCTTCAAGTAGGCACCAGTGTCTGTTATTCCCCTCTGTGTCCATGTGTTCTCATCATTTAGCTCCCACTTATAAGGAGAATATACAGTATTTGGTTTTCTGTTCCTGTGTTAGTTTGCTAAGGATAATGGCCTCCAGCTCCATTGATATCTCTGCAAAGGACATTATCTCATTCTTTTTTATGGTTGCATAGTATTCCATGATGTATATGTACTGCATTTTCTTTATCCAGTCTAGCATTGATAGGCATTTAGGTTAATTTAGTGTCTTTGCTATTGTGAATAGTGCTGCAGTGAACATACATATGCACATGTCTTTATAATAGAACAATTTATATTCCTTTGGGTATATTCTCAGTAACAGGATTGCTGGGTAGAATGGTATTTCTATCTTTAAGTCTTTGAGGAATCACCACACCATCTTCCACAGTGGTTGAACTAATTTACACTCCCACTAGCATTATATAAGCATTCATTTTTCTCCACAACCTCGCCAGCATCTGTTATTTTTTGACTTTCTAATAATAGCCATTCTGACTGGTGTGAGATGGTATCTCATTGTGGTTTTGATTTGCATTTCTCTTATGATCAGTGATGTTGAGCTTTTTTTCATATTCGTGTTGGCCACATGTGTGTCTTCTTTTGAAAAGTGTCTGTTCATGCCCTTTTCCCACTATTTAATGGTATTATTTGTTTTATTTCTTGTAAATTTCCAACATTACATCTTAATGAGAGACTCCTCAGGCCTTACAGGACAGGAAGCTAAGTGATCCAAATGAGTGGAAAACATTGCAAATAGCGGAAAAAAGAAAAACAATAGAAGATGATTGATTAAATGAACAGTTGTGGATTCTGAGGAAATCTGTTAAAACCTGGGCAGATGTGGAAGTACCCAATTCATCTAGGTTTGTTGATCATACCCAGAACACCAACTGCTTAGGCAGCTGCATAGGGTGTCACTAAATAGCAGCTACATTAAGTGACCTTAGATTTTGGCTAAAGGAAGGGCAGTAGTAGAATTAGTAAAGATTGATAATTCTACCTGAACTAGCTGTTCCAACAGAATATAGAACTACAGGAGACATTAGAGGTAATGCATTCAATTTCTCACTGGAGGCAGGAAACTTTATCAAACACATTGGAGAAAAGCCATTCAGTTTTTGCTTGAACATCTTACAAAATTAAATGCTTCCTCCTTTATAAAGAACTATACTCCTTTCTACTGCTGGATGACTTCATGTTCAAAGATAATCCTTATGTTGAAGTAAAATATACCCCTCTGTACATTCTCCCAGTTTTTCCTTTTGATCTACCTCCTAGAACCTCAGTATATTCCTCTTCCCAAGCTGCTGGGTGAGTATCATGCATAGTCTTTTCTGCAACTTGTATTCCTGAAATGAACATCTCCAAATTCTTTAACCATACCTCATTTGCCAATTTCCTGAGCTTCATTCTCCTGGTTACCTCCCTCTGAAATCGCTCATTGAGGGCAAACTTATTTTCTTGTTCATTTTCACTCCTATTATCACTTGCATAAAGTGGGAATTTAGTAAATGACTTCTGACATGAAAGACATGTTTAAAATGTGGCACCCAAAATACATTGTAACGTTCAACTTCCTACAAGTAACAGAATACTATATAAAACAGCAATAATTTTTTTTAAATAGCCCTTTCCAGCCAATTCTTTCTTATTTCTGTCCTAAAATCTCTTCTCCTTTACACACTCCTCCTCCCATCTTAAGTACTATGCTCTGTTATCCCTCTCTAGTATGTAGATTTATCCTCAGAGTCAAGCATATCCATTCACATGAATATGTAGAATCTAATGATCTTTTAACTATTGAGTGTGCTTTTGTATTATGTCAGAATCTTAATGAATCAAATTTGAAACAACAGAAAACCAATGAATAGGCTTATTATTAAAATATAGGAGACTAGAGATCCTGATAAATTTGTGAATTCATTCACAATGTTTTTATTGACACTTACTAAGTGCTAGTTCTTTCACTGGGAACTGTTGATGAGCTATGTATAAGATCCATAACATGTGTTTAAAAGGTGCTATGGGAGTATTTGTGGGAAATAATTATTTTCACTGCTAACACAGGATTATTTCTACAGAAGGCTGAATAGGAGTTTTCTAGGCATTTAAATGTTATCCAGTGAAAAAGTATCCTTAATGAAAAGTAATAGTATGAACAAGGACGAATTAAATCACTGAGGAATTAAAAATAAAAAACAAACTATTATGGCTAAAAAAATGCTTCAAAAAATGGAGTGAGAGATGATATTACTTTGATACATTGTAAGCAACCTTGAATGCCATGTAGACTAGTTATAGCTTAGCTGCTAAAAAGTTAGGCCCAATATTTAATATTTTCATAAAATAGAAATTGATTTTTTACTTGCATAGCAGTTCTGAGCAGGTATGATTTTGATTAGCAAGGTCATTCTTCATTTGATTGTTCAGAAACACATGACTCCATGAAAACACAGAGCCTTGTCACTCCTACACACATTCTATCAGTCAGAAGTGAGACAGATGGCCCTGCCCCATTAAAAGGAAGAGTTGGAAATGTAGTCTAGCTGTGTACCAGAGTGCAGGAGAGAATGGATTTATTATGTTAAAGTGCATGTATGGAATTCAATAAGCATTGTGGAGCCATTGGAGTTAGTTTTCAATATGTGACTGACAGGAAGAAAGTAGGTTCAGAGGGGATGTGTATGTTCTGTACAATGAACTGAAAGAGCTGACAGTGCTTTATGAAAATCTTTTTCTTGGTTGATCAGAATGTAGAAATTTATTGTCAAATGCCAATTGGGTTCTCACTTCTGCCCCTGAACCAGTAACATATTGTGACCATAATACAACCAGCATAACATAACTAGACATTTTACTAAACATCTTTTGACAGTGTTCTTGGGAGGCTAATTTTGGGAACTTTTCCAGTACATGCACAACTGATCTGCTTTTATTTTAGCTTCTAAGTTTCATGTTAAAATGGAAAACAGAGAAATTAGATCTCCTATGTGACACGCCACAGTATATGAGCAGAGAGAAAGTTAATCTTACTGAGCAGTTGACTGGCTTTTTTTTTAACCTGCACAATATTTTGACAATTGCTTCTCTTCTGTAACTGCTGAAAAAAAGGTTAATCTTGCAATATTTTTCAGGATGCTATGTACCTGTCTGTAAATGTTTGGATATACCTCCATGCAGACTCTTAGAAAGCTTTTGCTATTCTTCAAAGATAATTCAATGGAAATTATTTATCCAGAATAATATGGAGAAATTATAGTGGATCATAAAATAATAAAACCTCAGTATAGAATGAACTTTGAAAATAACCTCACCCAGCTCTCCCCTTAACGTAAAATGAGTTCTGTTGGCCCCATTGCTGACAAGTAGATCATATTCACAATGTCAGAAAGTTCAGTGTGAGGGAACCCAGAAACTTTAAGGATTCTCAATGTTATAGTGGTTAGGTTACAATACTATTCACAATATAAGATATAATACTAAAGCAGCAGTAGCAGTAAAAAAGGAACAGGTGTACTTTAAATATTTACATCCCCTTCTCCATTCACTGATAGAGTGAGCATCAAGACTGGATGATTCAAATAATCATAAAACCCCTTAACTGCCTCCTTTGTTTTACATAATTGACAATGTAACTATTACTTTTGTCCTCGAATTTTGGTGTACTCTACTTATTCTGTCCTGCTTGCTGTGCTCTCCCAATTAAGGGTCCAAAATGAATGGATTGGCAACTTGACTAATTCATTCACTCAAGGCTGATAGTAATTTAACTTTTAAGAGAAAAAGTAACTATGAGGTTAATTATGATTGTTGGTTTGTTTATGTGTTAAAAGTGGTTCAGAAAATTCACAACCATGAAGTATAATAATATGGATAACTTAGGTTATTTTGTAGTAATTCAAGAACCTCCAATTCTTATTTCTTACTCAGGCTACGTGTCCATCTCAAGTCAGTTTTGTGTTATAGTTACTCAGGAACCCAGGCTGATGGAACCTCTACAAAGGAACAACAATTGTTATTCTACCATGAAAAAAGGTGAGATCTAGAAATATCACTGAACGCTATAAACAATCACTAGATAAATGGGAAAAAAAAACATTTTAAATTGTGCTTCTAAGTAATCATTTTATTATGTAGAAACGTGTTCATATCAACCCATTTATAAACAGAAGGCATGAAAACCAAGCAAAAAAAGAATTTTTGTCTCTGGTATTTGGATATTTACAATAAAATTGAGACTTAGCTTCTAATAAGACATTTTTCCTGTGTAGAAAAACTAAAAATGAATTTGTCTTCTATAGTTTCCCAGAGTACTTATGAGGGTGCATTTTTAGCTATGTAAAGTATATGGTTCAATAAATACTTATAAATTATTTATGAAAGAGATAAATATGAAAATATTTATATATATAATACTTCAATATTATTATCAATA